TGACATTTTGTTTTAAGCTAGACTTTTTAGGATTCTGCCTCGAGTTTAATGGCTCACAGGTCAATCTGAAGCAGTGTCTGGGTCCCCTGAGCTCGCAAAGCCCCAGTGATCCAGGGAACATGCCCCGTCTTCCTCACACCTGCTCTGCTGACTCTAGAGTGGGTGTGGCTGGACCTGCAGGGGGATGAGTGGGATTATGAGCGTGCTCCTCTTGGTTGCTTCCTTGTCCTCTGTGAAATTTTCACTCTGTTTACCATGTTACTGTTGCTTTTCTTTATAAAGTTTTTACATCTGTCTGTCTGTCTACCATCTATCTGTCTGTCTATCTACCTACCTACTTACCTTCCTACCTACCCATCTGTCTTACATGAGTATTTGTGTATCATAGCACATGTGGCGGTCAGAGGACAACTTGCAGAGGCCATTTCTCCCCTTCTATCATGTGGGTCTTGGGAATTGTCAGGCGGTGGCAGATGCCTTTACCCGTGGAGCCATCCCGCTGGCTCGCTTTTCAACTTGCTTTTCAGCTTAACCCCTCTTAATGGCTCACCGATAAAGCGCCATTGTTTTTGACACTCTGGCACGGTCCACACTGCAATCTGTCTCCATTGCCAGAGCTGTGGAGATTTCTGTGTCCTAATGTCCTGCCTCTCCCTCTAGGTGGGACCTCGGTTTATTTTCCTGTCATAGTGCTGTAGTGGGCTGATTCTACCAGGGAGGCATCTCTGGCCTAGGAGCAGGCATTAGCAAAGGGGACTTCAGCCATGGCATCCTTGGCTTTCTTCTCCCAGTGAGCCTCTTCTCTACCTGCAAGCTCCATGGAGAACCAGTATAATTGGCTGGCCATTCTTGGGCAGGCGAGTGGGGGAACTAGGTGGGGAAGGAACTTCTCCCCTCCTGGACTCTTTGCTTAAAATGGACAGAGTTCCTACAGCATGCGGCTCAGGGAATGAGATGTATGTGTTCCTCCCCAGAGAGGTGGGCAGGGGGAACTGTAGCCCAGACTAGGATCCTTCCCCTTGAGGTTGCCTGGGATACAGCCTCTATGACTGGAGCTGGGACAGGAGGGAGCAGTGTGTGGCCTCAGCGTCACAGACTCAGCAGTCCAAGATGTAAAGATTTTCCCAAACAATATTCTCTCTCTCTCTCTCTCTCTCTCTCTCTCTCTCTCTCTTTCTCTTTCTCTCTTTCTTTCTCTGTGTGTGCTCATGTACATATGCCCATGCGTGTGTGTATGTGGAGACCCAACACTGATGTTAGATGTCCTCCTTGGTCATTCTCCACTTCATTAACTGAGCCGTATCTGTCACTGAAGCCAGAGCTCTTCAGTCCCAGCTAGTCAAGCTGAGGATCTGCTGTCCTTGCCTCTTGAGTTTTGGTGGCTGCTACGCCTGCTTGGCTTTTTCCATGGGTTCTGGGGGATCCCAACTCAGGTCTTCATACATGTGCTTTTCTCACCGAGCTGTCTCCCCTGCTCGTGTTCTCTTTTTTGGTGTGTGCTGTTCTCCTAGGTGGCTCTTTGTACTGCAGCTGACTGTGAGCCACCCAGCCCTGGACAACGGAGGGTGAAGTCTCATGAGGGCTGCCATCACGGCATGTCTTCCCAGAGAGGGCCTAACTTTGCCCCTGCTCGGGTAGGCCTGACTGTCTGTGGTCACCTTCTGCAGTGTCGTGATTTGGGGTTTCCCTAGATTGCCCGAGTTCATGTGAGTTTAGACTAGAAATCCCCAAGGTCATTGTGTACCCAGGGCTCCCCCGGCCCTGTCTGCAGTCACTCCCCCAGCTGCAGTCACTCCCAGCCTGCCGGGTGTGCAGCTCTTTCTGGCTCATTTCATAGGCAGCATCCATTTCCTGAAGACCATCCCTCGCACCTTATCCTGGCTTCAGCTGCCTGCAGTGTTTCTAGACTGGGCAAAACCAACCCATGGCTCTGGGTTCTACTCCGTCTAGCCGTTGGCTTGCTAATTCCTTGCTCCAAGCTGTATGGCTTTAGGTTAGGACCTGTGTGGTGGATATCAGAGGCACCCTGGAGCTTCTGTAAGGCCAGAGATAACCATTTCCTTCACTGACTGGTGTCACCTTCCTGTCTTCTGGCTATGGCCGGTATCCACTGATGCTACAGTGTTTGAACATTTGGGCTTATTTTCCTCTTGCCCTAAGCCCTGTCTGCCACCTGGATAACTAGGATCAACCTGGACAAGCCTGTTAGGACGCCCTCAGCTTTTGCACCAGGCCTTGCTGTGGTTTAGAAGCAGCTCTGGCTGTCCCCTCTCCAGCCACCATAGTCCAGACTGTGAGTCTTCTGAAGGTGGCTGCCTTCCCGCACAGCCCTCACATACCCTGGAGCTAAGACTTCCTGGTCGTCAGACTTGCCCTGACCTCTGTTTCTTCCCTTTCAGAGCAGGAATCCCCACATTTCCTTCTAACACCCTGCAGGTTCCCTGGAGATAGGAGCCAGTTCCTTTTTGCTTCCCTTCTAAGTACCCAGTGCAGTTCTTCCCTGGACACAAGTGCTCACAGTCCTTCTGCTAAACCTACGAGTCAGGGGGCTGGAGAGACGGCTCAGCAGTGACGATCACCGGCTGCTTTTGCAGAGGTTCTTCGCACCCACAACCCCCGTGGTGGCTCACAGTCTGTACTTCCAGTTCTAGAAGTCCTGATATTTTTTCCTGGCCTTTGTGGGCACAGAGACATCGTATGCAGGCAAAACACCCATACACACAAAATAAAAAGAAATCACATGCATTTTTTTAAACTTCCGGGTGAAATGCTTTGCAGTGACAGCAGGCCCTCATCTTTATGTGCAGACTTAGTGGATCCACATAGGGTCCTGTGCTACAGGTGTCTATGGGACACTAAGTATGTGGCGTTCTGTGTAGAAGAGGGCACAGGGTCTCAGACACAGGCCAGACCCTGGGTGTGATGGGCTGTGTTCTCAGATGAGCCAGGTCTGCAGTGGGCAGGTGGACAGGTGAGTGTGTGGGTGAAGGAGGGTCAGGAGGTCATGGATTGCTGCTGGGGGAGAGATGGCACATTGACACCTGTCTATTAGGGGCTGCCCTGGGAGGATGTGGTCACCCTCTGTCCCACCACCTCTTACATGTGGTGGGGCTCCAGTGCAGAGCCAGGGCTGTGAGCCCTTTCCTGCCGCACCTCAGTTCCCTGGGGGCTTTAGCATGCTCAGACGCAGGAAGAGAGATGGTTGTATGCACCAACAGGGTCCTGTCTGCCCTGCCCCACTGGGGATGACACCCAGTGTTATCAGCCTGGGTTCATAGGTTTAGACAGGCATAGAATGAAAAAGGCCTTCCAAGTCTGGGCATCCAGGTCCCAGGCAGCTGGGAGGCCCTGTTGTGTCCTGTTCTCTGGCTTCCGGGCGGTGTCATTCTCTCATGTTCCCTATGGGTGTGGAGGAAGGCAGTTTTGCTTTCTGTAGGCGTGTGTCCCCTTTACCAGGTGAGTGTCAAGGTCACCTGGGGGCATCACACCTGCTCACTCTGCAACTTCTCACCTCATTCACTCTTGTCACTTATCTGTCCCCAGAAGAATAGTGTGTGGTCTTAGGGCCACCCTCAAGGTGAGCTGGATTGCCAGACTTCCTGCCATAGGTAAGGTGGGCTCTTGTCTGTGAACCTAGGGCCTCTTGGGGCTCCCTCTGTGAGGATCCAGAGGGCTGTGGCTTCCGCTCTGAAATCTGGTGAGCTATTGCACAGAAAGTGCTTAGGTCTGGGTCCACTGTTTCCTTCAGGTGGTTTAATTAGAAGATCTCAGCCCAGTGAGACCTGCATGAGAACATGGGACCCCGGCAGGCTTGGCTGACCTCTCAGAATACTACGTATCTGTTCTTCCACTATTGCTATTACTTCATTGCTAACTGAGGGAAACGGGTGAGCATTTGCCACCACGAGCCATGGACATTTACTTTGTTTAGAGACGGGGAAACTGAGGCTGAGCTGATAACTGGTGTAGCCAAGTCTACCCCATTCCAAGCAGGAGCTTCTCTCCTGTCTCCTCCTGTCTTCACTAGTTTCTAGGGCACAGAGCTGGGTCATACACCAAACACCAGGATGTAGATGCCTTTTGAGGACATCACACACACACCCCCACACACCCCCACACACCCAGACACAACACACACCCAGACACACCCAAACACACCCAGACACACACACACACCATACAGACCATAAACACATACATAGAGACACATACACATACCATACAGACACACACACACACACACACACACACACACACCACACAGACCCACAGACACACACATACACACACCATACAGACACTCTACACGAAAGTAGGACCGTAAACCTCCCACATTACGCTCCCCCCCCCACTCTGTTCAGGACACAGCAGGTTGTACACACCAGTATACAGTTGGCAGGGATCTGTACACCCACATACCAAGCCGAATAGAGCTGTTTCCCTTGGTTATATGATGGGAACAGAATAGGGGTTATGTGAAGGAGGTTTAGAAGCAGTGAAGTTATGCCCCCTGGAATGGCCACGGCATAGAGTGAGTTCTGGGGAACAAGACAGCACGCTTGGTGGGAAGTAAGACATTTCTGGTTCCTGTTAGGCGCATGCGTATAGAATGTGGGTGTGAGGTAGAGGGGATGGCATGGTGAAATCCTGGGGTGACAAGCAGTGTCAGGCTTGAGTGCCATTGCTGGGAACATGAGTCCCAGAATCAGAGCAGGTTATCTCAGGCCTGGGAGGTCCATACCAGCTCAGGGCCTTTCTCAAGACTGTTGCAGGCACCCTGGGCCACTGAGCTGAAGTTGGAGGCTCTTGGGTATGCCCAGGACTTCTGCCCACTCCTGAGGACTCCAGCCTAGGGCTTCCCTATGGCTCCTTCCCTGTGCCGCTGCTGTGGTACAGGGTCAGGGATGAGGAAAGACTGGCCTATGGTGGCTCATCAGCAGGAGAGACTGTGCTGATCAGAGTTCCCTGGACATCCTCCTCCTCTCTGCTGTCCTCTCTAGATGCGTGTGCCCAGGTGTGCGGCTGCAATGAGACGGGAATGCTGGAGAGGCTGCCCCGCTGTGGGAGAACCTTCGCTGACAGGATGCAGAGGGTGGATGTCTGGAAGTGGTGCAACCTGTCCGAGTTTGTCGTGTGAGTGCCCTGCTGGTCACGGGACTGCCCTTGCACACTGCACTCAGCCTAGCCCCGCCCTTTGGCTCCTCCCTTACTTACGCTCTAGGTCCTAGGCACAGCCACCCACAGCCCTCCCACAGTCCCCAGCTCGCTTTGCTACACACATTCCTGGGCTGTAGGGGCTTCTGGGGTCTGCCTGGCTCAGTCACATAAAGCCGTAAGGGCAGTTCCTTGGAAAGGTCTGGAAACACGAGGGCCATAGCATGTGGTTCTCAACACCCATAGAGATGAAGGGGCCTTCTGAGGCAAAAGGTTTTCCTGGGGGTATTTATGATTCCCTGTCCCAGATGCTCTGAGAGCTTGAGCATCTCCAGGGCTGCATCAAGAGTGAAGCCCAGTGGGGCCTCTGAGTCTGGATAATGATTCTGGCCTCTTTGATTCTGATTCTTCCTTGTAAAGAACCTTGGAGGCCACAGGTATGTGGTTTGGACTTTGAGAACCAGCCTGCTGTAAGTCAGGAATCTGTGAATGAATAGGCTCCAGACCCCTGCCCAGGGAGGAGTAGACACACAGGACCTGGGACATTGATAGTCCGCTCCTCCCGTTTTTCATCCTTATTCTGATGCTTCTGCCAATTCAGACTGCAATGACGTTTTTGAAGCAGCTTGTTGGAAGTAGCTCCTTCCTGTTAAAGGGCAAGTCCCCACTCCTTCCTGGAACAACACAGGAAGGAGAAGGTGGGTCTCTGCCCTGGAAGACTGGGCCAGGATCCTCTTTCTCCTGTGTCTGTCTTTCATCTGAACAGGCTGGGTAGAGCTGCTGGCTTTGGGAAGACATCCATCCACTCAGCTTCCTCCAGAACCTCTTAACTGACCTTGGCCTCAAAGACCCCAATAGCAGGGAGGCCACCACCTCCTGAGGCTGCTCACTGCATCTTGGACTAAGGGGCTACTTGGAAATCCTTTTCCATACATTAGGCTGAACTCTGGTTCCTGGTAGCCCTTGGGCAGCCTAAAGAAACAACGGAAGTCTGGTAGGATGGACGAGGCCCATCTCAGGAGAGTCTCTGGGAGACTTTTACACATTTGTTCATAATATAGCAGTCCCCTTGCATCCTGTCAGGTAGGGTGGAGGGGCAACTTTGCAGTAGTGGACAGGCGGAGACTGGGCCTCATAGGTCTACTTGGCTTGTGAGAGCAGATTGATTTGGTTGGGAGGAAGCTGGCCCCCGCCCGAGACAGACTCTTTCCTCAGGCCTTCAGGATGCTCTGATGACAACGGCTTTACAGGTCCTTGTGGCTGTGGGCCTGGGTTCCATGTCTTTTAGTGAGACCTGTATTGTGTTGGGGAGGGCTGAACAAACATTCTGGACCCTGGGAGCTTACAGCTTCAGGGATCAGATGTAGGAAAATGATCTGGAGAAAAGTTCACAGGTACAGATGTCCCAGTTGGAAGTGACTTCAGAGGTCATAGTTTTAGTAGGTGGCCAAGTGGGACTGAGCCCAGACCATTCCCTGCCCGTGTCTGTTGGGCCCCGGGGCGGGGCAGGCGTGACGGGTGTTGAGAGAGCTGTGGTCTTAACCTTCTGCCTCTGTAGGTACTACGAGAGCTTCACTAATTGCACGGAGCTGGAGACCAACATCGTGGGCTGCTACTGGCCCAACCCGCTAGCCCAGAGCTTCATCACCGACATCCACAGGCAGTTCTTTTCCAACTGCACCGTGGACAGGACCCACTGGGAAGATCCTCCAGACGAAATACTCATCCCGCTGATCGCGGTGCCGGTCGTGCTGACCGTGGCCATGGCTGGCCTGGTGGTGTGGCGCAGCAAGCACATGGAGCAGCTGCCGTGAGGGTCTGTCCGGTGCAAGGCCATGCCTGGCGAGAATGCGGCCCAGAGCTTTGAGAACCGGTAGACGCTTCCTCTGTTTGGTCTGTTTTGGCTACACTCGATCTGACCATGGCAGAATCCTCCTGCCCAGGCTGATGTGGCCCTTGCTGTCTAGCCTGCAGCCTGACGGAGCTCAGGCTGACTGTGCAAGTGGGCCAGTGGGCTAGTGGAAGAAAATGACAAAGCTCGTTTGTGTACCACGTATGGAAGTATCTGTTGCTGGGCCCCCACTCCCCAGGCTGGGCTCCCTAGTCTCTGGCCATTTCTTGGCAGTCTTGTTCAGCTTTGACCCCAGTCAAGGTCCTGACCCATTTCTAGTCCTGACCCTGACCTCTGCTACACTTGGGCAGAGAGGTAAGGCAAGGTCATCTGGCAGATGTGGAACTCTGAACCCTCCTGATTAGGAGACTGAGTATCTCCTCTGTTGGACATGAAGGAGAGCCTGGGGACTGGGAGATGGAGTCACTGGGAGCCACATGTCACCTACAGCTCTGCCTGTCTGATCCGTCCAGTTCTTTGTCCTGTGTGGCTGGGGATTCATCAGTCTTTGATAGACACCTGCCCCGCAGTGAGGCCTGGACCTCCTTCTGAGGGGGGTGGCCTGGACCTCCTGAGGGGTGCCTGGGAGTAAGGCATGGTCTGAGCAGAGTCTGTGCTCGACTGTTCTGTCTCTGATGTCTGTTCTCTGTGATTAAAGAATCCCCTTACATCTGGCGTCTCTTGTTTTATTTCAGGGGATCTGTAGTTAAAGCATCTCTCAGGTGCTCCGAGTAAAGTCACCGGGGACGGCAGCCACAGGAGAGGGTCTTGGAGGGTCTGCTTTAGCACCCTCTCTCCTTTCTTCCCTTTTCTGGTTTTGCAAGAGGTCCTGCTGCGGGTTTTGGGGAGGAGAGGCCCTGGCCAGATATGGCCAGCCAGATGATGGTCAGTAGGTGGTGCTGTACTGTCTTTGGCTTCATCTGTCTTCCAGCTGGAGGACCTGGATCGTTGAGTATTGGCTGCTGACCTCATCACTGTCCTCTGGCTAGAGAGTTTCCCTACTATACCCAAGTCCTGGTGGATACCATGGGATTGCAGGTGTGGATGACTGGCTGAGTCTATGCCATGCACAAGATCTGGGGTCATTCCTTGTTTTTGAAGAAGGCCAGTGTGGAAGGTTGTCATGGGAATGTGAACCGGCCATGTGGCTCCTGGCACACCTCCTGCCACTTGAGTAGCAGCTCTGAGATAAGATGCCATGGGTCCTGGACTGGTTCGATGTCCACAGTGATGGACCCTCTAGTCCATCCATCCATACACGTGGGGGCACATAACTCATTTATTAGATGTGGAACATCAAATGATGTTCTGGGAGGGATGGGGAGCCCACATCTCCAATGCTGTCTGTCTTGCTCCCCCAGTTTGAGCACCCCCAGCATATGTTGAAGTGTCCTGAAGAAACCCCATGCCTCTCTCCTGGGGAAGACATCTTCAGCTGTTTCCTGGGTTCCAGAGACCCAGGTTACTGATAGCTTCTCACACAGGGGTGAGCCCGGAGCTACTTTCCCTGGCCTCTCTGTGACTTTTGGGCACTATCACCAAATCTCCCATCGTTGTTTCTCTTAGCAACAGTGAGGCTTTCTCTCTTGGAGCTGAGTGGTCATAGTTCCCACCTGTGGGAGTCTCCAAGAAGGGATAGAGAGTAAGTGCTGGGGCTTGGTGGCACATGCCTTTAGTCCCAGCATAGAGATGTTCAGATCTCTGTGAATTTGAGGGCAGCCTGGGCTACATAGCAAGTTCCAGACCAACCAACAGTGAGACCCTGCCTCAAAGAACAAAACAACAACAACAATCAAAAAGTGGAGATAAGTGTCTTTGTCAGAGACGCCTGAAGGAGCGGTTCCCTGGGCCACAGCTCCCTGGGGGCAGGTCTCAGAGTGCGGTTGGGTTGGCAGTGGTGAGGGCCTGGACAGGGCAGCTCAGGCCTAGCCTGTACTTGAAGGCTTTGCTGCAGACCTATGATTGTTCCATGGGATCCTGGAGGTAAGTGTGGGCACCATAGCTGATTTAGAGCCCATTCCTGTGGGATAAGGTGTCTGTCCCCCAAAGGGTGATGGGGTGGGGAAAGAGGCCAGTGGCCTTGTGGAGCAGTAAAATGGGGGAAGGAGTGGCTAGAGTCCTGGGGGAGGCCTGTGAGTGCTGAGGCAGGTGGGCAGGCTACACAGTGTGGCACACAAGGGACTTTAAGTTATGATAGGGGTCTGGGATGGGACCAGTGGCAGCCAAGGACACAGTGAGTGATCCTATGAGTTGTGGATGGGGTCAGACTGATGCTTAGCAGTCTGGATGTCCTTTATGCATATATGTCTATGTAAAGTGTGTGTGTGTGTGTGTGTGTGTGTGTCTGTGTGTGTGCGTGTGCACACGCACAAAGAGTTCCAGGGGAAGAGCAGACAGGCCTTCGCTTTGTCAAATTGTGCCAGGCACTGTTGGTGCGAGAGGCAGTCCTGGGGGGAATAGGAAATGTAGGGCTATGTGACTGGGCTGGGACTATGGCTGTGGTGTGCTGTGCTGTGCTGTGGCTGTGGCTGTAACTATGGCTGCCCTGTGGCTGTGGTTGTGGTTATGAGGACTCAGGCAGTCCGAGGAGCAGCTGTATGGAACTGGGAGGGAGATATAACTGGCTCAGGCAGCCTGTTTCTGGAGGCTCAACTGTGCTGAAACAGGCTTCCAGGCCACACACCAAGGCCCAGTCTAAGGACACAGCCAATGACACCCTCCACATGTTAATGACATCCTTGCTTATCACGGGAGGCACTGGTTGATGAAATAAATTTAATTTTTTTTGAGAAATGGGATCCTATGCAATTTTATTATTCAACCCAATGGGAAACAGGTCTTTAAAAGACCTTGGGATTTCTTCTGTTACATATAAATTAAAAGTGTATATTGTAAAATAGCAGAGGGTCCATTTCCAAAATGATGTGGAAAAACTTTGTGCTCCAAAAACCTGTGACAGATGCCAATCATAAAAAAGTATGTAAATTAATGAAGCCATTTAAAATCACTTGAAATTGTCCTGAGGCCACATTGTAAACGAGGGGATGTTTATTAAAGAGAATTTGCCAGAGCTGAGTGAGGACAGGGAATTTGCAGCACCTGAGCTATGGTTGCCCCCAGCAGGACCCCCCCACAGTCCGGCCATACAAAGTGTCATTCTCAGAGTGTGGGTCTCCAGTGTCCACCTCCACTCCCAGCTCCGCTGCAGCTATCAAAGTCCCCACAGGGGTGGGGTGTCAGCTGCTGTGAGGTCCTGGAGGGAGAAATGCCCTTGGTCCCAACCTGCCAAGAGCCAGGCATGGGAGACCCCTGGAACTCTTGATGTCCACTCTGCGGCGGCCAGCCGTGGCCCCAGAGGCTGGCTCAGAGGATGATCTGGGGCCCCACTGGGTGCTTGAAGCATGTCCAGAAGCAGCAGTGAAGGCATAACTGGAGGTTTGGGGGGCTGTACCTGTCTGGAGGGTGCAGAGGAATGCAGGGGCTTGTCAGAGACCCTGCTCAGACCATCCACAGAAGTCAGTGAGCCACCCTAGAAAGGTCATATCCAGGGCATGGGGGGGCACGTGGGCAGAGGTGAAAGGTCTGGAGTGGAGGACGGGGCTGGTGACATGGTCTTTAATACCCGTGTCCTCCAGGGATATACAGGAGCTCCTGAGGCAAGGCCAATGTTTATCAGGGGGATAAACTTGGTCCCTGGTACCAGGTGTCCTGTGTCATGCTGACCCACCCTCCAGGGGCCACTAGGGGTCCCGAGACTAGGACGCTTCAGCATTTCTTTTAATAGTAGATGGCCAAGGAATCTGATGATCCTGTGACTCGACCATTCTTGCCATCTTCTCTGATGGCACCCTATTCTGCCTGGCACTCTCAATGGCTTTTAATCTGAGAACTTTCACTCAAACTATGCTTAGGGCCCGTGGGTGTGTGCTGGCTGAGGAGCTACCAGGGGCCACAGCAACCTGGGGAATAGTCAGGTTTGCTAACATTAGATTTGCTGATTTTCCTTTTTTAATTAAATTAATTAATTAATTAATTATTTTTTTTGCCATTGGCAGTATTGGGGTATGGAACCCAGACATCTTTTTCTTAAGACCGAGAGGACCACGCACCTCATATTTACTATTGTCGATCCTACGTTGCCCAGCACCTTTCTTTGGCTCTCCTGGTAAGTGAATCATGTCCCTAATCTGGGGTGCGAAACCCAGGACTCAGGATAATCTCTCCCCTCTTCTCTCTCCCCCTTTCTCTTTTTTCTCCTTTTTTTTGTAGTTCTGGGACTTGAACCCAGCACCTTATGTATGCCAGGCAAGCGCTGTGCCACCATGCCATATCCCACCCTTATTACTGCTGAAGTCTACTGAACTAGCCCTGAGCCAGGGCCCACCAAGAGCTTCGTATTCACTTGTGAGTTGATAAGCATGCCAGCTTTTTGCATCCGGGACTGATGCTGGATTTGTCTCTGCACACGTGTTCACACCCATCCTCTCCCAACCCTGTTTCACCCAGCAACCTTTTCGTATATTTGCCTCAGCTTGAACTCCAGGGAACTCTGAATGCATCCCACCAGCAGGAACTCTGTCCCCACACCTTATTCTCCATCTGACATATATCTTCTCCCCAAGCATTTCAGTCTAGTGGGCTGTGAAAGGGTCCCCGTCACATAACTGTGCTAAGTGCAGGTTAGGAGCAGTGGAAGCAGGACACAAGGGCAGTCGCTTGCAGTTAGCGTGGATTCTGTGCTTGCAACGTGGTGTGCTCGTGGGCGTCTCTTTGCGCTGGGGACCTGCTTTGCTGCAGGAAAAACTATTTCAGCTGCGTAGTTGGAGGGCTGAGTCCTCACTCAAGGCATCAGCAACCTAGTCTATGTTAGAAACCAGCAGTCAAATGTCTGGGAAGTAGGTTTGTTTTCAGTTTTCCAGCTCCAGTTAAAAGGCACACGGGACCGTAGGGAGATGGCTCTCCTGCCATTCTTGCTCCTAAGGCCTCCTTCTCAGAGCCTTGTCAATGATGCTGCTGGGGACAGAGGAAGCTGTTTTGTAGAGAGGCAGGGGTGGGGTTCACTCAATGTCCCTTACCACAGAGGCAACTGTTCTTCAGCCGGGTCTTCAGTGGAGGCTAGGAACAGGAGCAGGGGACCAGCTGCATGTCATGTCATGGCCACCGAGGAGTTCTAGGGCTGGAAGTGCTGAGATGTGAGGGGAAGTCAGCAGATCATAATCATTACGGATGGTTTGAGCACATCTAATTCAGAGATCAAGAGATCAACCACACACACTCAAAGTAAGAATGTGGAGTTCTCAATAACAGTTAACAGGTGGTACTCTATCTGGTTTTCATCATTTGTCCAGCCATTCATCATCTCCCATCCTTCCATCCCAGTAACCTGAGCTAATCAATTTTTTAAAAAAGAAGGGTTTAATTAGCTCATTTGTCTCAATGGCAACATAGTGCGCCATGGCAAGACAGCGCGGCAGAAGCACAGGCAACAGGAAAGCAAAGGAAGGGGCCAGGGCTCTGACAGCCCCTCCGAGGACACATCTCAGTGACATAGCTTCCTTTGTGGACTCCACCTCCTAAAGGCTCCACTATCTTCCAATAATGCCACCGGCTGAGAAAGGAGCTTTGAATCCATGGGCCGATGGGGGACTTTCCAAGTCGACGCTTCCTTCCTACCTCACAAATAAATATATAGTTGGTTTTTTTTTTTTTGTATTCATGTGAAATGGACAACAATGAAAGCCATGCCAGCGACCTTTTGGACTGAAAAAAATCAAAAGAAAAAATATACATTTACTTAGTCATCACAAAAACAATCTGTATGGTTTTGGGTTAAAGAGGTAGTAAAGATGGAAACCATAAACTATAAATTTATAGCAATAAAACGCAGAGAGGGGCAGGGAGATGGGGGAGGGTGGACCAAACAAAACAGGGCATGTATGAAAATTCCATGAGGAAACCTTTTACTATGTATCCCAATTAAAGAAAGCTCAGCAGCAAAAGAACCATGTATACATCAAAATCCACTGTGATATGTGCACACACACACACACACACACACACACACACACACACACGGCAGGTGTGAGGAGACAAAACCCACAGTGTTCAGCATGACCCAATATGGGCTCAGTCTACTGGATGGAAAGGTGGAGACTCTTCTGCCATTGGCTGCCGAGACCGATGGGCCGAGCCAAGAGAGTGCTGAGCTGTTTCCTGGGAAGAACCAGAAACTCCGCCTGTGGCCACCTCAGCGCCTCAAGCTTAGATGCAACCAGCAAGCACAGAGAATGAAATAAAAATAACCAGGCTTCAACTCAATAAAAAGAAATAGCAAAGAAACCCCCCAAAGAATAGGAGGAAATAAATTATGATAAAATAATAAAATAGCAAAGAGATGTAATCAGTGAAATAAGGTTCCTCCCCAAAGAGGGAGAAGGAGGGTCAGTGAGAAGACTTGGGGTGTCATCGGCGTGTCCATGGAGCGGGTCAACCTGCGCTCCATCCGGAACCCACGTGGTGGAAGGAGAGAATCTGCACTTCCCGTGCAAGTCACGGTCTGAGTGTGTGCACACACGTGCACAGCAAATATGGAGATGGTAAAACAAAGGCGAGAATGAAATAGCCCACAGAAAACCTCAGAATCTCCTTCTAGAAAGGTGACAGGAGCCAGCCGTGGTACATACTTGTAGTCTTGGTATTTGGGAGGCTGAGGTAGGAAGATGAGGCATTCGAGACCAGCCATATCTACAGGAGACCCTGCCTGACCACGCCATCCCCACCTCCAGTGTCTCACCTAGACAGAAACTCCAGGGTAGGCTCTCAGAAAGAAGGCCATTCATAATTTCTGAAAAAGGGGATGAATGAATAAAGCAGATGTTACAACTGAAGTCCAGAGCAGACAGAGGTGGATGCTGAGATCCAAGCCCAGCTGCAGGATCAGGAAGCAGGTCAGAAGGAGACCCAGCACCCGCCCTTCTAATTCCAGTCATTCCCAGGACCAGCCCTAGGAGACACTAGCAGTCTCCCGTGCGAGGATTGACCCTGGAAGGGGACCACTGACTGGAGCCAGGACATGAGGCAGTCTAGGAGATTCTGAACTCCAGATCCTCCCCTTCTGCTTGCTAAGGCCTTTCATAAAATGGCATTCTTTAGTCTGTAGGATTTGTTAGAGAGACACCAAGGCAGGCCTGGACACAGCTTTCATAAGAGGCTTTAGCATGGAGAGGAACGGCCAGGTTGAGTGTTGGGTCTGCAGGTGTGTGTGTGTGTGTGTGTGTGTGTGTGCATGTGTGTGTGTATGCGAGTGTGTGTGTGTGGTGGGGTGAGTATGTGAGTGTGAGTGTGTGTGTGTGTGTGTGTGTTGGGGAGGGACTGGGCATGGGAACAGGATGGCGGCAGCATCTGTAGCCAGAAATTGAAACATTTCCTGACAACAATGAAGCTACCAAAGAAGAAACAAGAACGAGAACGTTCAGGTCCCCGAAACAATAGCAAACCCTTCCTGAGTGCCTCCTGCCTTCCAGGAGCCACCGCTGAGACTTCCCCATCCTGTGATCCCACAGGGCCTCACCCTCTGAGGTGGATGCTCTTTCCTGCTCTTTTGCAGAGAAGGAAACTGAGGCCCTAGCACGGTTAAGTATATTCCCAGCGCCACACTGCCATCAATCCTGTGGAGCATGTTAGAATACTGGTCTGAGCCTTTAGGCCAAGTCCCACAGCCTGAGTCAGGCCAGACATCCCTGCCCCTCTCCCTGGGACTCTGTGCTGTGACTTGACAGCCCTTGATTTATGGTACCTGGCTTCTCCATGCTCCTTCTCTTATAAGCTGTGATGAACTAAACCATGTGATGTGAGACTTTCTGCCACTCCTAAAAGCTATAAAAGTTCAAGCTTTTTCTTAGTCCTGGGAGTTTAGTCCTGGGAGACTCTCAGGGGGATTTGTTCAGGAGATCGCTCCGAAGGCGGCTTTCCAAAGAGGCTCCTCTGTCCCCATGCTTGCTATCCCGCCCCCTCATGGTGGTTCTCTCCCCTTCTCCCTCTCTCCCTATTCCAGGCTGTAAAGGGAAGCCCCTCCTTCCATTTAGGACGCCGTCATGTTTAGGTCTCCATATGTTGTACCGTTTCCGTAGAACACTCCCCTCACCCACTTCAAGGCTTCCTCCTCCTAATAAACCTCACGGAAGGGAACTCTGTCAGCTTCCTTTGTGGACTGGCGGCTGCCGCCCTATTTCTATCATCACATAGAACAGATCAACCATGGACTTACCTGACCCCAAACACTGGTGCTTTGAGCCAGGCCCCTGTTGGTTTGGACAGGAGAGGATTGCAATTTGTGGACTGGTCCAGGCGGTATGGCTCATCCTCACTTCACAACTCCGGGTTTCCGTCCTGCGGAGACATTCCCTACCTCAGCGAAGGATCCTTGTCACCAACTAGGGTCGTTGTCCTTGAGTTTCTGGGGACTCCTTGGAGTTTACACTGTGTGTTTCCTCTCATCTGGTCTCACATCTGAAAACAGGGACTCATAAAGGTGCCATCCAGCTTTGAGTTCCACCTTTACCTTTCTGACCAGTGGGGACATCGAAGTACAGATGAGGAGACCTGTCTAAGGTCACCTGAGAGCAGGAGCAATTAGAAATGATTCCCATTCCTGCTCTGGCCCAAACCCAGGTCTATTTACAATGGTTTTCTTCCCCGTGTTCTCTGGAGGTTTGAGTGAGCGTGGCTCCACAGGCTCATATGCTTGAATGCTTGGTTCTTAGTTTGGGAAGGGTTGGGAGGTGTGGCCTTGCAGGAGGAGAGCCTACACCAGCTCAGTGTCTCTCTCTGCTTGCTGCCTGTGGATCAGCATCTAAAGCGCTCAGTCGCTGCTCTAGTTCTGTACCTGTCTGTGTGGTGTCATACTTCCCGCCCTCTAAAACTGTAGTGAGCCCTCAAATAAATTCTCTCTTTTATTAGAGTTGCCTTGGTCACAGTCTTCACAGTAATTGAACAGTAACTAAGACAGAAGTTGGTACCAGGAGTGGGATCTTGCTGTGACAGGCCTGATCATGCTGTTTTTTGGAAAAATAGGGAAGACTTTGGGACTTTGGACTAGAAAAGTAGTTGAATGCTTGAGCTTGGAAGACAGCAGCACTGAAGCAATTTGGACTATGGAGGCCCAGCGCAAGAGGTTTCAGAGGGGAAGACTATTAGCAAGTGGCCTACAGACCATTCTTGAGATAGTTTGGCAAAGAATGGGACTCCCTTCTGCCCTTGTCCGAAAAATCTGCTTGAGGCTAAATTGAAGATTTTTGGACTAAAGTCATTGGCAGAGAAGATTTCACGACAGCCTAGTATTGGCTGTGTCACATGGTTATTAGAGAACACAGTGCAGATCTACAATGAAAAAGAGCAAGCAGGGT